TCATCCTCTGGTGGTTCTAATGAGGGCATGTCTCCAGCCTTGTTGAGTAGCTTCATTGCCACAGGATCATTTACTCTGCACGCATTTAGAAAAACAAAAAACAAATCAGATAAATTCAAACTTATAAAAATTCAGGCACATATGCCTTTGAAATTAGTTTCAGTGGGAATGAATACATGCATGCATGCAGAATCAACTTGTGTGCGGTTCTCAGTTCCATCGTGAGAAGCATTACAAAGTCATCAGCTAAACTAAGTATTATATCATTCATGCTCATTTAATTGCCCAAAATACAATAATCGACCTAATGGACCACAAACAAAGAAATCAAATTTGAAACTCAAATAACAATTCAGGAACAGGGAGCCAAAGGGCAAGAACTAGCAATCTTGAGAGTGCATACACCTGCATGCATGCCAGAGATGGAGAGAGGAAAAACATAAATAAAGCTAAATATGCTTGGAGGATGAAATTACAACATTCTACGTACCCATAGTATCGATCTTTAATATTTTGTTGTGATAACTCCCCAGTTATGGGCATCTCATGCCTATAGGGGCATTCGGCACCTCGTGTGCATTCACCACGTGCAAAGAAGCTACAAACATGTGCTCGATTTCTTTTGTAGTATGGTGTTGTTCTTTGAAGCTTCAGAATAGTATCATTTGCTTGAGCCTTTCCATATGAAGACTCATAATCAATTCCCGCCCTAGCCTGCATCAAGCAAAGTCATATCAGCTCAACTTAAGAGAACAACAGAATAGAATTAGTGTAACAATCACCATCTCAGTGGAACAACCTTGAATGCATAACTAACTGAACTGCACACTGATTAGGCTATTAGATAGTTTGAAATCCATAACCACAACAGGAGGGAGACAGGATCAAAGGACCTCCTTGGTTATTAAATGAAGGGTCAAAGTTACAGATAAAGGTTTTGGTGTGTAACTATAATTTTAGTATTCATACTTGTGTGAATCGAATAACTTGAATTAATTTTAGTTAAATAAAATAATTTAGACACATAATTTTCATTGCACAATAAATCACATTGATAAGTATCTTCAGGTGTATCATCAAGTATTATGTTTACATTATCATTTTATTTAAAGATAAAAGGCCCTGCCAAGTTTCATCTAAAACATATTAGTCTAATGTGAATCTCAGCATCTAGTTCATAAAACACACTCAGTAGCTCATATAAAACACGACTCTTTAATAAAAAGTACCAGTACAAATAAAAATGGGAAATTGATATCTTTCACTGCTATTATATGGTATATGCAATATGATTCATTCATAAGAAAAAAAGACGTCCCATGGAAACAAGCATGCCACAAATAACAAATGTGGGTTTCATATATGGTAGCTACATCATCAGCTCATTCCAACAACTACATGTCAAAATTACATCAACAGCCACTGGAAAGTAAACATTCACTTGGAATCATCGGTTACCTTGTAAAGGTGATACCCTAACAATCAGAGAGCTCTAACACAAACGAAACAGCGAATAGCTTCTGATCACAGGCAGCCAAAAAGCAACAAAAACAGACTGGAGTTAAAACATGAAATAAACATACCCTTCGGTCATGCTCCTCGGCAAAATACTCTCTATTCACATCACTCTTTGGAATAGCATCATTGAAATTTATACTGAGAGCAGTATCACGAACTTGACCAGGCAAACCATACTCTAGATCCAAAAGACAGACTTGACAGACATTTTTCAACTTACTGCAAGTCTGGCCAACTTCAGTCTTTTTAAATCTCGCATCCCTACCAGGCCTCCACCTAAACACTGTAAATGGTCGAGTACATATCTTGCATTCCTTATCGAAGTCAGCTCTGGTCTGCATCCCAGCAAGTACATACAACCGCAAAGGAACAAATCATATAAATATCCACAAAGAACAGCCAAACCCCCTCCCCCAGAAAAAAACCCAACTTGGAACACGGATTAATATTGCGTACCATTCTGACATAGGGATTGTCACCTAAGCAAGACTCGCAAATGATAGGAAAGTCAGACCGTTCCCATCCGTCAGCCTCCGGGTCTTTTAACAACCTGTGCGCCATTCCCTTTTTTCTTCTAGGGCAAACACACACTTCACTGCCCTAATCTCTGCGATGGATACCAGAAATTGTTGTTATACTTCTGGTCTCACAAATCAAAATATTGTAAATTCAATTCTCAAAAAAAAAAATATATACATATATATATAAACAGAACAGAACACAAGCAATTAATTTAGGCTTAACCTAATGACATAATCTCAAAAGCGATCACAAAACCACTTTTGAAGCATTAAAAACAACGTTGCTAGAAAAGGAGGAGAAATCTTACACTAAAAAGCCGGAATCTGGCGTGTTCAGATTTTCCTGTGATGAATAAACCAACAGTTATTTATCTTCTTCGCGAATCCGACAATCAATTTGATTTTAGAACCTAGGGTAGGGTGTTCTTTAAATTGCTAAAGAGGAAGAGTGGATTAAGTTCTGACTGTTATGTTATATATATGGTGTCGGCCCAGACTGACCGTGTTTATGCTTGCCTTTGTTGACTGGTTTGACAAGTAAGTCCATGGGCCTACGTACTATGGGTTTATCTACGTGTTTAAAGGTGAATACGCGTAGGCCCAAAAGAAAAGGAATGAAAATAAATTATATATTTTAGTGAAAAATTATAATTTGAATTCTAAACTTTGTCGTCGGTATAATAGTTTACATTCGCTACCTATGCTGACAAAAATTATTTAATTACTATTATATTTCATTTAATAACTAAATAATCTTTGCAATTTTAAAATTATAAATTACAAAATAGCCATTTAATTATTAAAAAAAAAAAATTGAGCCCTTTTCTGCTTTACCTGTTTCTCTTACAGAATTGATTCGCTTGATTGTAGACAGTTCCAAAAACGAAACCCAAATTAAATTGATTTTAGACGGTCACCAACAAGATACTCGGCAGGTCCCAAGAAATCTCCAAGGTTTCGCAGAGAATTGAAAAGCGTATTGCTAGGATATCATATTCTTCTGCAATATCAAAAACCCCATGAAAACAAAAATCACTAATTATCCAATTGGATGATTTCTCGGCGACAAACTGCTTGAAGGGGTGCTTCAAGAGATCACAGGCAAACTTAACATCAGAAATTGAAGATGAAGTTCCACTGATTTTATCAGGGGTGCCGAGCGTGGTGGGAGTTGATACGAACGAGACATGGCCTCTAGCTTTGGCTAAAGCTTTGGAGAAAGGGAAATATGACAACATGTGGCCAAAGGCCGAAAATATTCACAGGTGCTTTCCAAGTTCCTTGCTAAAAAGAAGAAGGACCCAGTTCATTGATCTGTTCAAAAATTGCTTCTGCCTTCTTTTTTTTTTTCGATGCTGCTCTGTTTGATAAAATGCCAATACAGCCATAATAGATTACGAGTCTCGTTCTCTATTTATTCATAGATAAATAAAAAATTAATTTTATTTGGCAAAGACATGAAAAATAGATTTCTTATTGTTGTTAAAGAGAAAAGGATATATTTAATACAGCTACAACAAATACAAATACACCATTTATTATAGCAATAAACTTAATATACTATAGATTACAACAACAAATTTAGTTTTTGCGCCTCCCGTGGAAAAGTTAGAAGGTTAGGATATATAAATATTTTAATTTTTTTATACTGACCGATTAATTATTTGTAATATTTTTAATTTAATGACATGGATTACAAGTTTTAAGTGTTAATGGGATTTTTTTTTATTATATTTTATAATTTTATAATTATTTTTAAAAAATTATTTTATGATTATCTTCATTTTGTTTTCTATTAATGTGTTTCTATCTCATTATTTAAAATATGAGTTTTTCAAATTAATATTAAATAAATAATTTTTTTATAAAAAAAATTATTTTATTTTATGTTTAATTTTTATTTATTTTTTATTTTACTTTATACAAGTGGATTTTGTTTTGTATAAAAAATAATTATTTTGAAATAATATTTTGTATCGTCTTGATCATGCATATCTTTTGCCCTTTGATTTTATTTACTGTATTTTTATTTTTATTAATTTTTATTAATTGTTATGAATAAATTTAATAAACGCAAATAAATAAATATCTTATTTTGTGATACTAAGTATATTGATTTATATCCATTTTTTATTTTTTTTTATTTCTCTTTTAGTTATTATTAGCAAATTTTTTAAACTTATTTACAAAGATGATTATTAGATTTTTGGATAAAAGTTTTGATTTACATTTGTAATTTATATTATAATATATATATATATATGGGTAGTTTGTATACTCAAATATTTTTAATAAAGAAAAATTATGATTACGGAATGCATATCAAATCAAAATTTTAATTTTTCTATAATTAATTGATTTTTTTTCACTCTTATCTTTTAGATAATTTATAATTAATTTTTTTATTGATTTCATCATTTGACATTTAATTTGTTAAAGATTTGACTTCATATCATTTTATCACTCTACATTTATTTATTTTTAATATTTCTTTTAAAAAATTGTTTTTCAAGGTGCTATGCTAATTCACTTAGAATTGTTTTGTGCTTTATACAAATTAAATTGATTTTTAAAAATAAAAAATATTTATTTTTAAATAATATTGTTGATGTGCTTGATTTTGGATAATATTTTGTTTTGTAGTGTGAGTTTATTTGTTTTTATTTTTTAAGTCATGAGTTCTTTAAGTTGTGGATTTATTTTTTATTGATTTTAATATAAAGCTAAGTAAAAACAATCACAATGAATGTCTTATTTTATGTAATTAAATATCTTAATTTTCATTTCTTAATTTTATAAATTTTTCTTTTAGTTATTATTCATAATTTTTTTCTATTTATTTATATAAATAATTATTAATTTATTTAATGAGATACTTACATAGACTTTTTAATTTATCCTATTAATGTTTTTATGTAAAAAAATATATCGAAAGAGCCAACATAATTAATATTCTTTAAAAAAAAAACCCGGGTTAAATGAATAGTTTACTACAAGCAAGTAGAGGATGCACGTGTTTAATTTAAAGATTTTTTTTCAAAAGAAAAAAGCAAGCAGTAATGTTCAAACTTTTTTGCATGCATAGTAAGGGTATTCTCGAGTTACTGTGTGAACTAAGATTAAATTCGTTACTAAATTATTTTAGATATTTTTTAGGAATGCGGTGCTAAAAAAATTATTTATTTTGCTAAAAATTAAATTTTTTATATGTTTTGAATCATTTTAATATACTAATTTTAAAAATAACTTTTAAAAAATAAAAAAATTATTTTAATGCATTTTCTTAAGAAAAATATTTAAAAATGCACCCCTTGAATCTTTCTGGTAAATTCAAATGATGTTCTTAAATTTAAATAAATTTAAAAAATCTAGAATGAAACAAAACTTCTTACTCACCAAGCCATCCCTTTAAACTTTAAACTATTAATTATTTAGGATTCAGCAAGTTGGATTATCCTGAAAATTAAAAGAACAGTACTCAAATTGTAAGATTACAAAGCTTCTTTACTCACTGTATTGTGAATATTTATCTTACTCTTTATCATTTTTTTTTAATTCAACTAATTTAATTACAACTGTGATGATCACCGATGCTCAAGAATAATTTCAACATATGACAGATGATCAGCATGATTTCCATACATAAGCACCTTACCACATCAGAAAAGAAAAGAACAATATTTATTTCATACAAGTTAAAGCATCATTTTTAAAGAACAGTATTTATCACCCGTGCTTGAATAACGCAAACTCTTTGTTACCGCGTAAAATTGAAGTTGACATTAAACAGCCACGATGTCATGAGAACCTATGCTATATTCAAATTAAACCTTGGCTAGAATGCCCAACTCCCATGAAATCTTGGCTAGAAGTTAATAGGAACCTCGATCAATGATCCTGATCAAATTTGCACATGAAGCCTGCTAAACAAGGACAAAAGCTTCCTATAAATTGCATCACAACTTCTCATGGATCATAGATTCTGATGGAGGTTCTTGCCTTCTTAATCAGATAGTATCCCGATCCATAACTAATGGACCGCATCCAGGCAACAAAAGAGCTCGCTTTCCGTGTCGCCTTCTCCGGCCACAGTGGCCACCTCAGGGTCGAGCCACTCTCCACCGTGGAGCGCACCAACCCCGTGAAATCTGCCCCCCTGGGGGGGGAGCCACTCTCCACCGTGGAGCGCACCAACCCCGTGAAATCTCTTCCTGACTTCATCCTTGTAATTATTTCTTCAATTACCTGCACGCAGTTAACTTCCTCCCTTTTTTCCCAGTTGCATTTGGCGCCCTTTTGTTCTCACCGTTTAATTTAAATTCTGGCTTTTGCTGTCTTGGGTTTGGAGTTTCATGCTGTTTTTCTTTTTTGGTTGATTTTAGTACAACTTGAGTGTGTTAAATAACTTTCTGTTTACAGGTTATGCGATCTCAGTACAAATTCTGTTATCGAAATTTCACCTATTCCGAGTCATACTATGATATCTGGACATCAATCAATTTTCTTTTAATTTTTGTTTCCATTTCTGAAATGGTAAATCAGTTGCTTAAAGTTATTTCCATGCTGAACGTTGATAGCTGTAATTATATGTATACAGCCCCCTGCATTTCCCAGGGAAACACAAGAATCGATAAAGGAACATATAGAGGAGAAATATCTCTTGCCGAGATTAGATCCCGATGAATTTTCAGCAGAAAAAGCTGGTAGGCAGTGGGAGTTTGACTGGTTTGAGATGGCAAAGCTGCCACTAGAGCCTTCATTGCCACGGTCTGTGGTAGTTCCGACATGGGAGGTACCATTCCGACGGAAAAAGAAGGGATCGGTTGAAGGAATGTGGGAACCCAATTCTGTACAGGTACGTGATGTTCATAAATTTGTTCCCCTACAGAGAATTCCAGTCAACCTTGCATAGGAATTTCAGCTTAGCATGGTAATTTATTTGAGTGTTTATGAATTACGTTGAATAATATGCCATGAGAAATCAAAGGTGTTGGGGTGGTTCTTGAATGCTATCATTTGCTATTTTCCTGTTTCTATCCTCTGCTAGAGGACTAGTTTATTATATTGTTTTAGGTGGATGTGTCAGAATTGTCACCCGGAGCTCAAGATTCTGCTTCTTTGCCACGTGTGGCTGGGCCTGCAAAAGATTTTGTAAGAGGAAGCATAAACAACCGCCCTTTTCGTCCCGGAGGTTTGGAGGAATCTCAAAATGTGGACAGACTTCTTCCTGATGGCGCTACTAATGGTGAATGGGTACGGGAGGTGTTGAATGGTGGTCCAGCTCAGGCAGTTGCACCCAGCCTGAAGCAAGGATTAGACCTCGGGGATCTTAAGGTAACCAACTTGATGTAACATTCAAATTGGGAAATCCAAAGAGAATAACATTTTTAAATTCATCCATCTTTGTAATTTATTTGGTAGAAGTTCGTTTTTAATTCTTTGTAGGCATTTCCTTACACGTGGA